ACTGCTTACTCTCACATGGGTTGAGGGGCCATGCTGTTGACGAGCTGTCTTCGGGCAGTTGGCGAGGTACACCCTGAACTTGGTTGCCAGCCAATCGTAGGGCACACAGACAAACAGCAACCATTCGCACATTTTTGACGAATCATGTGAATAGGAAATGCATTTATTGAAATGTTTCTTTTGTCTGTCAGGCGCAACCGCTAGTGCTGCACTACACCATCAAGGACAAACGTAGCAGATAGGATTCCGATGGACTTTGGCCTTTCTTCCTTCACCAACACAGCTGTACATATTTTGTACAATACATAATTCTATTTTAATAATAGTGTTTGTGTACATGAACTTATTTTCTCGCCTTTTTGTATTTTTGAAAATAAATTAAAAATGTCAAGCAAGCAAAGGCTGTCTTCAAGCTTATTGCATTGAAAAATGTGCGTGTGTGCGCATGTGCATGTGTATATTTTATATATATATACAGTCAAACCTCGGTTTTCGTCCATAATCCATTCCAGAGGGCTGTTCGAAAACTGAAACCACACTCTTTTTAAAATAAAAATGTTTACTAAACACGTCTGCTCACAATGGAAAGCAACACGAGGAAACGTCACTTCCTCGTGTAAGGAAGGTGAGAGGAGTTAAATGGTGCATTCAAGTGCGCTCAGTTTGTTCGAGAACCGAGACATTCGAAAACCGAGGTTTGTCTGTGTGTGTGTGTGTGTGTGTGTGTGTGTGTGTGTGTGTGTGTGTGTGTGCGCGCGCGTGTCTGTCTCTCTCTCTCTCTCTCTCTCTCTCTCTCTCTCTATATATATATATATATATATGTATATGTGTGTGTGTGTAATGTGTATGTATACACACGCGCACACACTCCACGTGTGTGTAATGTGTGTGTGCGCGCGTATTCGATAAAAATATGCTGAAGGGCCAAACTGAACAAGCAGTACCAACGTTTTCCGCCAGATGGCGTTATAGCTCTTTTTACATCCCGTTCCGCGCTTTCTCACTGGTCGCCACGTCACGTGGACGTATTCGGCTCATATTACCGCATTTCAATCGTCCAACTGTTCATGGTGGATCGTTTGGATCGGCATGCCACAATATACTACTTACATTTAATTTATATACACATAAAAGTGTCACATGGTCGTAAATAAACACTGCTAATGTGTTAATGGGTCTTCTATTACCCAATGGAGCAAAATTAAATATTGGCCTTCTGAAACACCGGACGCTGACAAGTTGCTCTCTCCCGTGTCATGTCAAATGATATACTGTACACCAACAAAATGTTCACAACGAGTTCAAGCAATAAAGAAATACTCAATTAATACCCAAATGAAGACAAAGCATTATTATCTGGACAACTGCGGATATTGCAAATGGACCTAATAAATTAACCAGTGAACATGTTTACTTTTTTTTTCTTAAAAATTCTGTACTAATGGCCATAATTCATTCATTACATCTTGAAGCTATTACTATTATTATTTTTATTATTGTTATCAATAGTCGTAGTTGGCGCACCAGAATTCATATGTAGCACACAAACATTACACAAAAAATATACAATCACACATGTATGAAGGCATGACACACATAAGCACATGCACACAGTATACACAATTAACAAACAGAGAAATAATAATCACAATAATACACGAACATATACAATACATATCCATACAATTAGACCCACGCACACAATAAAGCCATGTAAATAATACACACCATAGCACACTATAGCACATACATAATACAGAGAATGCACATTCAGACACACAATACACATGTGATTATCAAAACAATACACACATACACGGAATACACATTAAGCAATACATAAACAATCATAACACGCACACTATACACGAACAAAGTACATGCAAAGACAATCATACACAAACATACATAACACAATAACACCCCCCCCACACACACACATGCGAATCTAAGTTGCACTTGCTTGCATCCACTTGACTTGACCCCCCTCCGAGTCCCCTCTTACCTTAGGTGGGTTGCTTGTTGTGAACGGGCCTAATAAAATGGGGGTGGCCACTTGAACTTTGAACCCGTGTGCTCACAGCCCATTACTTCCTTTGTGAGGTGGGCAGCGTGCACATGCATGGCCCTTCACATTGCCCCCACATCACTCACACATGCGCTTTTTTTTTTTTAACATTTTGCCCCCATTCAAAAGCATGCATCTCCAAATGTTTTGGAAACACATGGAGGGTTTGTTTGTATTTAAAAACAGGATAATTGGTTGTATTTTGAGTATACATTCTTTTTTGTAGTTTTGAAATAAAAATCCGAATACAAATGCTTTTTGTTTTGTTATTTTTTCAAGTGACATTGAAAAAAACAAACCTTGACTCAACTGCAGTTTTTTGTTGTTTTGGGATACATATTTTTTTCGAATCACAAAATGTGCTTTGTTTTTGTTGTAAAACGTTTTGTTTTGTTTTGTTTTGTTTTTGGGTTGTTTTAATCACAAGACCTGGATTTACATGCTGTTGGTTTTGTTGTCTTCCTGATATCCTGGTTACAGTGTACATGCTTTTTGTCTGTGTTCTTTTTATTGATTAAACACCTCACAACATTTGGGGATATTTGGTTCTTGTATTTTGTGTTTGTTTTTCAGATCACTTTTTTTTTCCTGTCTCCAAAGCTGGATTTAGCTCTACTGCAGATGTGTTTTGTTTTTCCTTGCTCTTTGAGATATATTCTAAATTTTAAATAGCATGAATATTGCACGTGCCTTTTGTTTTTGTTGAAAAAAAAAACACTTTGAGATACATGTTTAGTGTTTTTTTTTCTTCACTTTATTTCTTTCTTCTTTTTTGTTTACTTGATGTTTTTTGGTTTGGGTGTTGTTTTCCAGTTTAAAAAAACCCTCACGTTTGGAGATAGAGCACATGCTTTTTGATTTATTTTGATTTGTATTGCAGTTTCTTTTTTGTTGCAGTTTTTTTTTTTTTTTTTTGCTTTTTTTGCTTGTTGAATATATTTTTAAAAAAATCTGCCATATTTGTTAAAATCACAAAATTTTGATGCACAGTTTGTTTTTGTCATTTTTTCTGAGGAAAACAACCCGGCATGGTCAAGCTTTTTGTTTTTGTTGTGTTTTTGAAATGCAACATTTGGAGAGACGTACGTGCTATTGTTTTGTTCGTTGTTATTGTTCAGCAGGAAGTTGCCCCTTCAAAAGAAGGCGGCTCGTGAGCCAAATGGCGTGTGGTGGCGTGTCGGTGCGTGCGTTTTCTTCAGGAGGCGTGTTGACTTCACACTGACCCATTTGCTATTCATGGGCCGTCCCCCTCCCCGCTTGGAAGGGGGCCAGATGCGTGGAACTGTTCTTGTGTTCCGTACAGGAGCCATCAATCAAATGTGTCCTCCGCGGAAGGATGCATGGAAGCATATGGCGCCGGGGCGGGAGAAAGCTACCAGCTTCTTGTGTCAAGATGCGCAAAGAAAAGAGAAGCAATAAAGCTTATTGTGACGTCAGGTCACATTCACTTTTGGGGGGGAGAACAAGGCGACTGTTTAACATTGTTTGTGTTACACACAAAGGACACGTTGTGCCATTTTGTTAAGCACACGACATCGTTAAATCGTTTTGTTTTGTTTTTTGCCCGATTGTAAAACAAAATTTTGCGGTTAGCTTATGGTTAACGATAATCCATCCATCCATCCATTTCTGAACCGCTTTATCCTCACTAGGGCCGTGGGGGGTGCTGGAGCCTATCCCAGCCGTCTTCGGGTAGTAGGCGGGGGACACCCTGAACCGGTTGCCAGACAATCGCAGGGCACACACACACACTGACGAATAACCATTCGCGCTCACACTCACTCACACCTAGGGACAATTTGGAGTGTTTAGTCAGCCTGCCATGCATGTTTTTGGAAACTGGGAGGAAACCGGAGTACCCGGAGAAACCCCACGCAGGCCCGGGCAGAACTTTCCAAAATCTCATCTGGATGCTATACACAGGAAGCCCGCGGCACAGAATCGAACCCATGACCTCTGCGCTGTCAGGCGGACTCGCTAACCAGTCGACCACCTCGCCGACGTTCACTATAATAACTTATTGAAAAACAAATCATGATCGTGGTGTATTTATATATATATATTTTTTTTACATTTTGTAATACTGAACATCTAAAAAATAAATAAAAAAGATACTACTCATAGTTTGGAGGTCGCTTTTTTTGGGGGGGGGTGCGGGGGGCGTACGTTTAATCACATAACATGAATCTATATTTTGAAACTCCAGTCAAAACATTAACTCACCAAGGCTCATGATGCGTGATAGAAAAAAATCGTTCATGACGTCAGATATGTTCTCAAATTTAGCACGCAAGTGGTACTTTAATCCTTCACAGAAAGCCAATATTTTACTTTAATTTTTTACAAATTCATCTGAATATTGATTGGAAGTTTATTACTTTAAAACATAGGTTGCGTTTTAAATCCGTTTTCAAAAATACTTCCATGTTGAATCGTGATGGCGGTGTTGTGGTTGCTATTGGTTTTACAGTTTAGTCTATTAAAACTAATTTCGAGTTGACAATAATTCTGAGCAAAAAATATCAAATTTTTAGTCAATATTCATTTTTTTTAAGTGCCAAAAACCATCATGATTTTAAAAAAAAGCAGGAATAATGACATTATTCTTAAATAAAAGACTCGATTTTTACTCAGCCAATAAAAAATTCTGATCATTCGTGGGGGGGAAAGAATCAATCTTATCTTTTCTTGAAATATGATAGGGCCTTTATTTACATAGATGCTGATTAAATACGTTAAAATCCTCATGTTGACCTTTTTATATATATTTATATATTTACTGTATATGTACACAGAGAGAGAAAGAGTGTAAAAGGCTGCAGTGGCTTGTCGTCGTCATCATCATCATCATCATCATCTAAATAATGACCTTTTCATATACTCCAGTCAATCATACAAACTGTTGTCAAAAGGAAAAAAGTGAAGAAGGTGATGAGCTGTTAAAATGTTTATTAAAAGAGTAAGTCCTCTTCAAAGTCTTTACAAGTCCCATAATAAATTAAATCGAAAGGAAGAAGAAGAAGGGGAAAAACACCCCTTTTGTGAGAATATCCGTGCAAAACTTGGGGAATTAAAAAAAAAAAACTTTCTAAATGTCTTTCGTTTGTAAAAAGGAAGGATGTCAATCGTCCACTTCGATCTCCTCGTCGTCCTCCGAGAACTCGTCGGTGGTCTGGCCCCGCGACGAGGAAGGCGACTGGGGGAAGATCCGGTGCGAGGGGATGGTCCCCCTGGCCGGGGATCCGCCCGGAGAGCTGCCTTCAACGGCTTCCCCTCCTGCGCCCCCTCGGCCTTCTCCCGGAGCCTCGTCGGCATTGTCCATGGCGACGAGCTTGTGGAGTGTCTGCGGCGTGATCTTCTTCAGCGACTCCACGTCGGCCTTCATTTCCTCCAAGTCGCGCTTAAGCTTGGCGCGCCGGTTCTGGAACCAGGTGATGACCTGCGCGTTAGACAAGCCCAGCTGGCCGGCGATCTGGTCCCGGTCGGCCGGGGACAAATACTTCTGGTACAGGAAGCGCTTCTCCAGCTCGTAGATTTGATGGTTGGTGAAGGCCGTGCGGGACTTTCGCCTCTTTTTGGACGCCTGCCGCTGGCCGAACGTGTTCAGGTGCTCCCGACCTGCGAAAAAAGCCACACACGGGGGAAGATCAAATCTGAAAAAATGACAGCCGAGATCGTCTCCATCGCAGGCGGGAATCCAAAGACGAGGTTGCTTAAACATTTGCATTCCTCAGACATTTTCTGGAGCCAATATGCCAAGTGAATTCAAACATTTACACTCGTATTTAATATTTAAGCGTAGTATCGTTTATTTCAGGAGGGAATACAAAAATAAAAAAAAGAATTAAATACCGATTATTACCCACTCCAGTGTGACATAAAAGTCGAATAACGTCGCAATATGGTAATTTTGATGACATGTTGTCACGCCTCCAAATGTCTCAATGACGCAGAGAAATTATCACAAATGTACATGAATATTGTATTGTTATATTAAAATGGGCTTAATTTAATATTTTGACGAGTGGCATATGTATTCATTCAATATTTATGTCACATGCCGTCACGCATCCGATGCGAAATTACGCATACATCCATTCCCGTCGTCAATCACGAGATTCCACATTTCAAAGCACGCCTGCTTCATATCCATCTGTAACTTAACACTTTTTTGTTAATTTATAGCTTATTGTTCAGCTTTCAGTGTGTAATTACGCACAAAATTCTCATTCAATATTAATCAGGTGCATTAATATATATCGCTCTCTATCTTTAACTTTTTTCGTTCATGTATGCCATATTTTCCATGCCTCCAATATGCAATTAAGCACAAACCGGCCCCCATCACGTATAAAAATTCCTATCAATTATACATTTGTCTCCATGACGCACGACTTGACATCGATCCATGCAAGGCCATTTTGTCACATTTCTAATCCGTAATAACACACGAAAACGCAAAGACATATGATCGATCTTGGAACATCGAGACACATCAGCATGCATACATTTGTTGTAAAGTTGTAGAATGCCACACTTTGGAGGTTGTAATCGCAAACCATATATCCACAAGTCCTGTGCGTAATTACTTCGTACCAACATGTTTTGGAGGCTGTATAACTACATGTCTACATATATTTATATTATTTGTCGACACATCTATCGTGTCACAATGCGGTTGATGAATGCCATATGGCACCTCCCTTGTGCGTAATTACGCACGAAATTGGCAGGATATGCACGAGGCAGATTTCAACCATCCATCTGTTGCAGGCCAAGTTGTTCCACATTCTCCACCTATTTTTGTTTTCACGATTTGACCGAACATCTGTAGTTTGTTCTTCGTACCTTCGGCCGCTTGGATGACGTTGACCTCCAGGCCCTTGAACGTCTTGCTGGCCAACTCCTCCAGTGCGCAGAGCGGCGACGACGGCGTGTTGATGCCGTTCCGGGCAGCGTGGTCGGCGGCCACCTTCTCCAGAACCCTCGGCCGACTCGGACACATGCTCGACGCTACGACGGAAGCGGCGGATTTTTTGACCGATGGCTTGCTGAGAATGTCCTCGATGCTGAATGGCGTCAAGGGCTTGTTGGAGTTGGCCGGCGGCGGCAGCTGGTCCAAGGGGGGCCGCCTCCTGTCCTCGCCGGCGGACTGCAACACGGAGCCCGCCTTCATGTCTTTACTGGAGGAGGTCATCGCCCGTAGGAAGAGGAAAATAAAAAGAACGGGGCGTGGGTAGAAAGTTGGCTATTTCATTCGCGAGGCACCGTGGAGCGTCCACAAGTGGTTCCGGGGGAGTTGTGCTAAAGGGGTGTCCGCGTTTGAGCTCGCATGCTCCGGCAGCGCTCGCTCGCTCGCTCGCCCCCCCGCCCCCGTCAAAAGTGCACCTATAGTCCACCGAGTTCCATGCAAATGCTCGTCAAGCAGCGGCGGACTTGCAGTTTGGGGGGGAAAAAAGGAGGAGTGGGCGGAGGAGAAAGAGGGTGAAAGTGTCCCGGAGCAGGAGGAGGAAGCAGAAGGTGACTGCTAACGAGTTGTTGTTGATTGGCCGAGGCTCAATTAGAGCGAGGCGACACCACTTCGCTGACCCTCCACGGCCCCCGCGCGTCTTAAAGGGCCGCGCCCCAAAAACTGCATTCCGAGTCCTCGAAAGAGGGGAGGAGTCCGCTCCTGCTCCCGATGATGAAGATGATGATGATGATGTGCTTCCAAATATTTACCCACGAATTCTCCCACAGAAGAGAGTCCATACACAAAATAAATACACACGACAAAACACGTTTGCCGCTAAGGACATTACTCGTGCGTAATTACACACAAAAAGTGGACCAACTTGGAACATTTCGAGTTTTACTGAAAAAAAAGACAAAAAAAGGAGAAACATACCCCCCCAAAAAAAAGTAAGTATGTTTTATTGTGAAAAAAAAAATGCCAAACGTAATTAATGAAGAATGGATGTAATTGTAAGGAAAAAAATAATTTTCAATGTAGGAGTTTTATATATATATGTGTGTGTGTGTGTGTGTGTGTGTGTGTGTGTGTGTGTGTGTATGAGGATTTCTCAAAATTGTTGTTGAGATATTGGTTGCAAATATAGTGAATTAAATGGGCATTTCATTTCATTATTTTATTTTTATGGATGGATGAGGTACAGAGGGATACTTAAAATGTAATTTTAGCCCAAATATATGGCATTTATAGCTATAGTTTATTAAGAGGGGCATTTTCATTTTTGCATTTAAAAAATATATCATATAAAAATGAAATCAATGTAATGATTGTATCTGACAAATTTTGGAGAGGCATTTACAGCTTTATGTTCATAGACAGTGGATGATAGCCAAATGAGACAGGCTGATTCTATAAAATGTTTTTTTTTCTCTTTACAGGTAAAGTCGCAGTTTTGAAGATAGACGACAAAAAACACGTTTTTGTAGCCAGAGATAGACACAAAGGTTGTATTTAGTTCGAAGATGGCAGACTTATTTCACAGCACTTTATTTTGGTTTTCATTACTTTTTATCCTTATGTTTAAATTATATGCGATCTTTACACAGGTTTTTAGATACATATTTTTACATACATACTTTTAAAGCCAATCACTGTTATTTGCACAAACACACCAAGGCCAATGTCAAATACATTATTTTATTTCATTGCTGTTTTTGTTTTGTTGTATGTGAGTTGTGTAAATTGTCAGTGCACATTTAAAATAAGAATTTATGATGCCTGATTGGTTCGAAACACATATTGAACGTTATCATTTATTAAGGCAAAGGCGTTACAGTTCAGACTGTATATCCATGTTGTTATCTTTCCACCAACAAAGAAGAGATTTTTTGTGCGTGTTCTTTCAACGAGGCCCCTCCCATCTGAATCACACATCAACACAGGCATGCAGCTAAATATGTTCAAGTGATGTCCATTAACACATAAACCATGACAACAACGCGGTGTATTGAAGGAGAGTGCGGGTACGACATGTCCACGTGAAGGAAAATTCCTTTTAGCACAATAAATAAATAAATAAACCGGCATTTCGGCCCGACTGTGAAATACCCCCCCCAACCCCCAAATAATAGAAGCTTTTTAAAATTATTCCTCAGCAAGTGCCCCGCGCTTTTGAGGCATCAGTATTTTCCCCCTCAGTGTGTGTGTGTGTGTGTGTGTGTGTGTGTGTGAGTGTGTGTGTGTGTGTGTGTGTGTGTGTGTGTGTGTGTTGTTTTAAAGAGCACTCACTGGTGGGCCATTTGTATGAGGAAGATGCGTTGTTTGTTGCGTGCCAACAGGACCATATGGTGACACAAGAAGCCATAAAACAGCACGACGTTCTATTGAGGCTGCCTTGGGGGTCTTTTTTTAATTATCGTTATTACTGTTTTTAGAGGAGGGACGGGGTCTACTTTATTAAAACACAACAATTATTTTGAATTGAAAAAGGCTGCCAATTATGAAATTGTATTTTTAACTCTTGGATATTGTATTTGAACGCTAATTTTAAAACCATGCCCAAATGCTTCTTATTTTATTTTATTTTTATGTTTTTTTACTACTCAGGCAGACGACAGCTTTTTTGTTGTTGGTTTTATTTTCCCCGTTAAAGGCAAATTTGAAAGGCTCGCCATTTGACCCCATCCATCATCCACTCATTTAATTGGATGACTTCCGTTTGGCATTTTCGCTACACGAGGCACCTGCCTGCAAGTTAAAATAAATGCAAAAACACAAAAGCGTGTGAGTAAAATCTGTTACACGAAAGTGGTTATATTTGCAAAAAAAAAAAAAAAAAGAAAGAAAGAAAGAGAAGTAAACAATAAAATTGAACAGCATAATTCTTCTACTTCTCATGATTTTTGTTGTTGTTTTCTGATCTTTTCTTATCGTATAAATGTGTAGTGAATCTTGCTGCAGTAGCAATAGGTAATTATTCTCAATTAATTAAATGTGATGCTTTAAATAGGCCATGCCAAATGTAAACATAATTAGTGCCTTAAATAGAAGGCTTACTGCGCATGTGCCACAATGCAAGTGTTTTTTTTGTCCTTTTTTAACAGAGACGCAACAAACGTGACTAACATCCATGAAACATGGAGCACAAATGACTGTTATGGTTGCGTATGTGTTTTAAGTCATAATTATAATAACATAATTATAATTATGATAATCCGTGCAATTTATCAAAACGCGCAGGTGACGACTAAAGTGCATTCATATCGATTTTAACATACTTGAGGCCCAACGGGGAAAAAAACTCCCAAATTCTATTTTCACGAGGTAATATGTTCGCATAATTTAGTCTTGTCTATTTTTTTTAAACAGTTTACATTTCCCACCTGAAAAAATAAAGATTTTGTTTTGTATTTTTCATACAGCATACAATTTGAAATCTTGTTATTAGGGATATCCGCACAATCAAATGACATCCAATAAAGGAGCTGTCTCAAAATGGAGCTTGGAAAGACAATCGAAAGTCGAATGTTTATGGTCGTATATTTTTGTTGTATCCAGCGAAGGGAAACCTGGGATTTGAAAGAGGGGTAGGTAACATTTAGTCAAAGTGTGGGCATGGGGAGCTTCGTGTGTGTGCCAAAATGAAAGTAAACGCTCGGAACCCCGCCCCCCACTCGAAAGTCATAAACGTAATCTGCTGGGGGTGACGTTTGTGTCTACTCGGACATTACTGATTTTACGGTTAATTTAAATATTTGACTCCCATTTTCGACCAAACTTTTACTTAAAGAGAGCTGAATGTGACATTTTCTTACGGTCAATTTCGTCTCAATTGATTGGAATAAAAAAAAAAACGCAAGAAAAGAACTATAACGCCCTAAAACAAGAGAAATTTTGACTTTCTGAGATAACCTTCCACATCAGTTTTGTCGAGCAGGTGACATATTTTTTTCCAAGCCAACAGCGAACGCGTCCTTCTGGTTGTTTCAACAGCAGGTGTTTGTTTGGACATTATAATCGTGACGCCAGAAGTGGCGGTAACACGTCCTTCACTGGTCTGTTGAATGCCACCGGACATTCCGCTACACCACCACTATCGTCCGCTCATCTTCTGTACCAGTTCTTTTGTTTTAGTCAAGATGCCAGAGAACATCATAAATTAATGGTCATTTCATAGTTTATTTGATTCAAACAGTTAAGGATAGAGAAAACTGGGCGTGGCTTTTACTAATATTAAACATATATGTTTTTAATTACATATACGTGCTAGATAGCAAGATGGACGTCACATTTACAGTGGTAAATACATACAGTAAGCCAGTCACATTTGCACTATAAGAAGGTTAATTTTGTCGCTTCAAATAAAAATTTATTCATTTCCTAGAATTGCGAAAATGCTGTAAATATTCCATCGACACAAGACAGCACAGTCAAATGTCACTGAAATGTTACAAAAATCCCTCAGACTTTGGTGAATGGGTCCTGGCCTATTCATAGCTGAGGTGGTTACCCAGGAGATGAGAGAAATCTTTGTACAGAAACATCTAATCAGTAAAATATTTATTTTTATTGAAAACAACTACACAACAGTACCTAAACTTTGTACTGAGGAAATAAAATAAAATAAAAATTAACAGAAAAAAACCCAGAAAAATGTATTGTACTCAGAAAATAAAAGAAAAACATCTCAACAAAAAGTCACATTTTGGGATTGGGGTGACTGAAAAGAAATTCAACAAAAATATGAGAGATGCACAAATCTTAAATAAAATGCAATAAAAAAAAGGAAAAACTAGCTTGAAAGCAGTGTGATTTCCTCATCAACTATATAAAACCTATAATCGCAGTGGTGAAACATGAACATATTTGTAAAACAAGCCCTTTTTTCATTATTAAATGAGACATCTTTTTGTTACTATTGAGAGAATATGCACATTACACTGAAGTCTAACTGGTTGACTTGGCATTGACAGACACTTGCACTTCAATGTAATAAGATCCTGTAATATTGTACTGTATCAGTATTAGTGTACTAAGTCAGTGAAACGCTACGTGCATCACACATTGTTTTCCCTACGTCTTGCTTTTATCTACATTTACTATAGTATGGTTGAGTTTTTTAGCATTGTCTTAACATTCCAGTCTGTCAAGTGTGATGGAAAAAAAGTCTTTCTGTTTTTGTTTCTAAGAAAGAAAAACTGGCCTCCATTCAGCACGATTACTATTAATGTCACTGGCCATATTTTGGCAAATGAAGACAAATGTTGGTGTGAGAAGACCGCGTTCCAGGGGATCCTTGGACAAATTAATCACTGCAATTCTATCCTCCACCACTGGGGCAGTGCTCCCACTCCTTCCGGCAGGTACCCCATGCGACTTTGCTTCAGGTAATTAAGCCGACGTGATGAGCGAGCCGAGTCTTCCGAGAGATGCCGTGACGCCTCGATCCTGCAGCTTTGCCTCCTTCCGCGCCTGCATTGAGTCCTCCTCACCTCTCTTGACATCAGGATTTCATTATGACACCCCCACCCCAATTCAGTCCACTCCATCAACACCACCAATGCATATCCCCCCAGCCCCCTTCTCCCTCTGCTCCACTTTGCTCCCAAACCAAATGAGGAAATAGCTTGTCTGCTCATTGACAGTCTCTGAGTTTGGGCCGTAAAGATAAATGATCCCAAGTATTAAAGT